GAGTGACAATACGCAAGTTGCGCAATTTTCTAATCCCATGGCCAGTATTTGATTTGTGAAGTGATGATGATATGTATTTGAATTATTGGACTAACCGCGGATGAGGGGAACCTTTGATGGGTTTTTGACCGTACTTTCTCCACGAATACTCGTCTGATGGAATATCAGCCATTTTGATGCTCACCGCAGCAACTCTTATCACTCTTTTCACTCTGGAATTCCTGCTTTCACCATTAAAAAAAAAAAAAAAAGGAGGTTCTCAGTGAATCTGGATTAAGAGGTGGCGAGATCTTACTAAGATTTTTTGGGTTCCAACCTTTTCTTGGAACAATGGCAACGGCTGGAGGATGAGGAATTACACCTTCTCTTTGACGAAAGCGGAGGTTTAGCCATCGAACCCGATACCTGTGATGTGTTAGTGAACTGGAATCCTGATGACATCTGATTACTCGAACACGAACCGTTCTTTGTCTTATTCTGGTCGTGTGACAAAGGATGAATTGGAGTTGGACAATAAACCCTAAACGCAGATCCATTGTATTGCCCTGTTTTGTGTCTGCTAAACACGGACGGTTCTAGCTTCTTCTTCTCCTCCGTCTGCGTAAACGAGCCTCGCCTGAATCTGGCGTGTCCGCTTGTAGATCTACCGAGCAGAGAAATCACCTTCTTGAAGCTGTTCACGGCCACGTCCGCCGCCGCCGTTATCTCCGTCTGATTCTCCGTCGTTTCACTTTGTGCCATCAGTTTAAGAAACTCCTCCACGCCGTGAATCCCCGCAGACGCCGCCTCTCTCAGGGCCATGTCTTCCATTTTAACCGCAGGAAAGCCGTCTTCTCCTTTGACTCTACCGCCGAAGCTCATCATCAGTTCCATTTCCATCTCACAAGTCACCTCTAAGCCTCAAAAGGTCAAAGGTACACAAACACCAGTAAAAGAAGCAACGAGCAAAAATGAAAAGAAGAAAGATATCATGTGCGAGTCAACCCGATGCGTTTCTCTATCTTTAGGCTTTGTGGATAGTGGCATTAGTCAAATGGACTGCCACTCATAGGGCTCCACGTGTTACCATTTCTCAAGCATTTGACACTCTCTCAACGTCAATGATTTTAAAAATGGACTAGTGGAGCTGAATAAGTAATCTTGAACGAAAATCCGTTTCAAACTGTTATTTGTTTTCGTTTTATTCCATAAT